TAATCACTATATAGGTATATATATATATATACATATAATAATCTTCTGACAAGGTCGATCGATTATTATTATTATACGATTGTCGGACTTCCCGCTGGGATTTCGGTCGTCGAAACGATTATTCACGGACCGCGGGTGTCCGACCTTAAGACAACGCAGCATCAGATCCATCTTTGTGTAAAGACACGTCGAGACGTCTAGGCGGTGGCAGCGATAAACATCCGACGGACTTGTCAACTTCCTAGGCGGTCGGACGTGTGAAACTCTACGTCACCTGGTGGAGATGCGGGTCGAAACGCAAAGRAGTTTACGAAATTTTTGAATATTTAAATACTATAAGTCTATTATTTCTATATAATAATATATACTATTCGTATTCAATTATATATCTACAGCTCACAAAAACTCAACATGATATCTCCTATGTATTTTTCCTATGTAATAATTTTGCAATGGATTCAAATATAACACATTTACACATTTATTTTTCACATCCATTACTACCCAATGTGCATAATGTAAGGTACACTTGAAATTCGAAACTTACCACAGTGGTGAGGRTGGGCAATAGACTTCCTCTTCTTATATAAGGTAAGATCATGATGATGCTTTTATTAAAGACGATATATTTTATTAACGTGATATTCAATAAAAAATAAAAATTAGTTTTATTTGACTTTTTAATGAAATCTATAAAACTAAAATAACTTTAAAATGTTAATACATTTGTTTTAACATTTTAGACTATGATTTATTTAAATTTATTTTTACTGATCAGGTTTAATATGTGTAAGTAGAATCATTTTTCTTAGTAAGACAATTGTTTTACATCCTACTAACATAAACTTTGTATGAAAAAATAGGCGTGTAAAAGAAAAATTTACGAGGGTGTAAATTTCGAAGGGTTCTTAAAATAGTTTGGTTAGATATAGACTTTGTTAAGAACTCGGAAACCCTCCTAAATTATTGGTGACAATAATTCCCTTTCAAAAATTGTCCCACCTTTATATCCACTGATTTATTATACATTGCAAAGTGATTTTTCCGTTGTTAATGCAATTTGGGTATACATAATATATATATAATATGTAATGTATACGATAATATACTAAATATTATTGTTGTAACAACAAAAATTGAACGAGAACATAAGCGTCACACACAATATGAGTTGGACCATCATCATTATTGTTTGACATAGTACAATTCATATTATATGCACAATGCACCTATTTCATCCGGCCACGTATATAATGTTTTTCACTACATACTCTAGACTATGGGTCGGGAAGACTGGTGCATGCGGCGTGGTAAAAATATATCATATATTATTATTATTTATACACGCATATAATAACGAACGGAGAGACTTGGCGCCAGGCGCCAAACGATGTCGTCGTCGGCGGTGGCGGCACTGGATCAAAGGGACCGGTGAGCCGTAACGGTTGGAAACGGTCGGTCCGCTGCACCGCACCGGTGGTATGGCGCATCGTAAACGGTCCGAAAAGGCGACGCGGCCGATTTACTCTCCGAACAGGATATGTGACGACAAATACGACGTGCTCACTGCGATGCAACAATAATAATATTAATATATTATACAATATGTGATATTAGTATGATATAATGACGATGTTGCTCTCCCATCCGACTATTARCTCTCCCCAAAACCGACTTATCTCTCCCCGTCATCACTGCAGAACGGCGTCGTCGACTTCTTAATAATAATATTGTAATCCAAAGACTTACCCACATGCGGTGGATATTTTTATTTCGTAAAAAATATTTTTAGATTTTAATATAATAATTATTGCAGCATATTAATAAACCACGATTACCTGCGGTAGCTAACATCAATATTATATYGTTAGTTCTTATAATGCACCGCGAAAYCAATGCATCATGAACTATGTATTTATTTTTTGGCGGGGTGGTGCGATTAACGAGTTGGCGTGAGATATGAAGGACCCGAAATAATGCTCATTTTATAATTATTGCTCGAGATAATCGATTGCACTTTAGTTAGTTTGTAAATCTACACCAGCTGCAGCTTTTTTTAAGGAAATTGGAATTTGCAATTTTTAGAGACAAAATATTTCAGTCAAATATTAAAGTAAGTACATCACTTCATGGTATACTTACCCCATAACTGAGGTATAACACTGTAAATGTAAGAATATACTTGGACTTTATTTAATAAGTCACATTCACATACTG